ATATATATTCCATATAGTTACATCTTTAAAGGGAAAATCAGATAAAAATATATTTAAAATTGCAAAATTAATTGTAAGTAATTTAGAACCACTAATTAGAAAATTTTCTAATTAGAAAAGTAACTTAAAATTATAGTGAAAGTACTGAACGTTAAAATATAGACCCAATATCAGAAACTATGGTTACATATATTCTATAACCCAACCACATGTGTCATAATTATCAGAAGGAACAGTCCCAAAAGCTTTAAGAATTGGCCAAATTATGTGCCTTCCTCAGATTTCTGTAATGCTTTCAACTCTTCTCTTTTTTTTCTCACTCTTCCCATTTATTACATTAAGCCTCTTTATAGATTTTAGCTATAATATTTATTAACATCTCTAACAGTTTTCGGCTAGAAGGAACAGTGTCACATAAAATTAGTAACTAAATTTTCTTACTCTATCTCTTGTCCTAGTGTCTACTAGAATGTTTAAAACATTAGGTAGTTATTGTACATCCATTGACAAATTAATAGATTGTGTTCATATGCTGTTCAGTTCTTGACTTAGAAGTTAACAGCGAGTTTAGTTTTGATTTGGTATTTATCAATTGAGAATTTGTAGGGGGGAACCAAAATGTCTTCCAGAAAGTAGAATCTCCTCCAACTTCACTGCCTCCCTCACCATTGGCCTTTACAAATAAATGTCTTACTAAGTCTTAGGAACTTCACTACAGTGACTGTAGAGTAAATGAATTACATATAATTTACATTGTAAAAATAATCATCTAATCTATCTGTTAGCTTTGTGTTTCATTTTACTGATATTAAAGTCTGAATTGGTGAAATTTTAGTATTTCTTATTAAACTTATTTCTTTTTTTATGCACCTTAAGCTAATAAATTTTTTAAGGTAATAAGTTTGAAAATATATACTTCAAAGATATTTTAACATATAGAATTAAAAAATAACATAACATTCAATTTTTACTGTAACTATATAGGTGTATTAAGATAAACATTTTCCAGTGTTCAGAAATTACAGTCTTTAAAGTTAAATTTAGCATTTTAATTATTATTATTTAATCTTTTCTTTAGGTTCCAGTATAATGCCAGCAGCTGGAACAATGTACCTAACAACTTCAACTGGATATCCTTACACTTACCATAATGGTGTTGCTTATTTTCATACTCCAGAAGTAACTTCTGTCCCACCACCTTGGCCCGTAAGTAATTTCATTTTAGAAGGGTTTCCGTCTGTTACTATTAATTTTTAAAATATTTATTTTATTTCCAAAAAATGTCAACCACAGACAAGTACAAATAATAATATAATAGCCATGTAGCTACCACTCAAGTTTAGTATATGTTAACATTTAGCCATATTTAAGGTTTTTAATGGCAAGAATAAAATACGGTAAATTTGCATAAAGTCTCCTTGCTTGCATTCTCTTACCCTCCTTTCCTCCCCAGAATATCTTTCCTGTTTTATATGTTTTTACTACAAATATAGGTATGCTTAAACAATATATAGTATTGCTTTGGGTGTTTTTAGACACTATATAAGTAAGTCTTTTAGATTAAACCATGTTTATTATAGTATTTCTAGTTCACTTACTTTAAAATTTTATAATATTCCATTGTATGAGTGTACATTCCCTAATTGAGGGACATTTTAAGTTTTTTCTACAATCAATACTAAAATGAACATCCAAATGTTGCATGTGTCATAAGTTTGTCTAAGACAAGTAGTCTTAAAAGTTTTTTGCTTCTATATCTTCTAAATGTTTTTGAAAATTATAGAATACTCTCATTTTTAAGTTGATAACTGAAATTTATCATAATTTTAAATAGTTTAGGCATACTATATACCAGTGATAGCAAACCTATGACACGTGTGTCAGAAGTGACACGCGAACTGATTTTTTTGGTTGATTTTTCTTTGTTAAATGGCATTTAAATACATAAAATACATATCAAAAATATAAATCTTTGTTTTACTATGGTTGCAAATATCAAAAAACTTTTATATGGTGACACGGCACCAGAGTTAAGTTAGGGTTTTTCAAAATGCTGACACGCCGAGCTCAAAAGGTTCGCCATCACTGCTATATATTGTAGATTTGGTTAGGTATGTTTTTATCAAACTTTGTAGCTGTATATTTTAAGAATAGAAAAGGTCCTATGTGTGGTGATGGATCTTAACTAGACCCTAACCCTCTCCCTCTCTCTCTAAAATCAATTAAAAAATATTTTTTAAAAAGAATACAGGTATTCTATATTTTATTTTAAAAATACTGTCATGTTGCTGTTTTTCACATGTAGATATCAAATCAGGAGTTTGTGTTGACTAATCTATTCTCTTCCAGTTTTGAAACAAATCCTCTATCAAATGCCAAGTTTTCTATGTGTGGGTCTCTTTCTGAGCTCTCTGTTCCAAGTCTGCCCTTCCCAATTCTGTTTTAATTCCTATTGCTTTATAATGAATCATAAGATCTGACAGGGCAATTCTGGCACTGTGCTCTTCAGGAGTCTCTCATCTATAAGTTTTTGCTTTTATAAATATAAATTTTATAATTCTGCTTATTCCATTCTCTGAAAAACCTTTTTGGGTTTTGGTTAAAATTGGATTCAATATATAGATCAATTTGGAACATTTGGGTATATTAAATTTTCTTACTAGTGAACACTTATTTAGGTCCTCTTTTATTTCCATCCATCAATCAGATTTCTTCATAAAAAAGTTTGACATACCCTAGCTGTTTGGCTCAGTGGATAGAGCATTGGCCTGTGGACTAAAGGGTCCCAGGTTGGATTCCGGTTAAGGGCACATTCCCGGATTTCGGACTCGATCCCCATTAGGGGGTGTGCAGGAGGCAGCCGATCAATGATTCTCTCTTGTCATTGATGTTTCTATCTCTCTCTCCCTCTCCATTCCTCTCTGAAATCAATAAAAATATATTTTTTAAAAGTTTGACACATTTTTTGTTGAATTTATTCTGAGGTACGCTATAGTTTATGAATGGTATATGTTTTTAAATCCTATTTTTTCAATACATTGTGGCTGGTATGTAGTAATGCTTTTGATTTTTAAACGTTGATATTTAAACTGCCAAACTCTCACAGAGACAGTCATTTATGATGCAATGTACCTCTATTGCTTTCTGCTCTTCTGTTTCTCATGTTTTTCCGCATTGAGTTATCACACTGGCAGTACCTCAGCTATAGTGCTTATGCAATAACACAATGACCTTGTTTTGACAGAGAAAATAAGTCCAGTGAGTTGCCATTAATATTTTATTTATACACACACACGTATACATATATAAGGTGTACCAAAAAAATGTATACACACTTTGAATAATTATTAATTCTAATGTGTTAAATCTGAAAAGAAAGTAACATAAATTGAGCTCTCAGAAAATAGTGTATATATATTTTGGGGAGCACCCTGTATATACATACATACATACATACATACATACATACATATGCACTGGAGGTTTTCAAAGATACTCTTAATTTTAACCAGGGCTTTTCAACTTCAGCACTACTGACATTTTGGGCCAGATGATTTCTTGTTGTGGGAGGCTGTATATTTAGGATGTTTAGCAGTGTCTTAGCCTCCCTACATTTAGAAAACCAAAAATATTGCCAGATGTTCCCTACAGGGACAAAGTCAAACCTGGTGAAGAATTAATGCCCTAAATCAATAAAGAAGTTCCTTTTTATTCTGTTTGCTAAGGGTTTTTATTATGAAAGGCTATTGAATTTAATAAATGCTTTTTTGTATCTGCTAAGATTACCATGTTTTGCTCCTCCTATAGTCTATTAATAAATTATTATTCTCCAATGTTAATCTATGGTGCAATTTTAGTAGCATATGATAGTCTACAGATTGTGCAAAGAGAGCTATAATACTTTTCTTTAGTTACTGGGGAAAAACATTAAAACAATGTAAATTACATCCCTATTATTAGAAAATGAATTTTAATTGCTATCATTAAAGCTTATTTTACCTGTCTTAAAACAACTTGCCTGTTTTATTAATAAGCTGGTTTTAAATTTGGGGATTTACTCTGTTACTTTGAATAATTGAGTGTTAGGTGTATACTTTTTCCAAACAGATAAATCACTTGTAAGTTTATTTATTGGATGATTAATTCATTTAAATGTCAAATGAATAAAATAGAATTTAACAAGTGCTTCAATAATTTATATATTTGCTTTAATTAAATCTATAACAAGGAAATAGGATGTTGATTATTTATAAGTAGTCGGAAATCAGTGGCAAAATCAGCTGTGATTGTTCATTCAAGTCTAATGCTATGTACACATTAACTATCTACTGCTGGTCTCCACAATGGAAATAGGTAGTGACATCTTAAGTCTAGCTGCCATTGCCCTCTGAATATTCTTAGACCTATCCTATATAATAAAAGGCTAATATGCAAATCAACCAAACAGCAGAATGACCGGCCACTATGACACACATTGACCACCAGGGGCAGATGCTCAATGCAGGAGCTGCCCCCTGGTGGTCAGTGCACTCCCACTGGGGGAGTGCCGCTCAGCCAGAAGCCAGGCTCACAGGCTGGCAAGCGCAGCGGGGTAGCAGGAACCTCTCCCGCCTCTGAAGCAGCGCTAAGAGCTATCAGTTGGACATCCCCTGAGGGCTTCCAGGCTGAAGGACACCACCCCCTTCGAGTGCATGAATTTCATTCACCGAGCCTCTAGTATTTTCATAATCTTTGAACTAAAAGCAATGTTTCTGATGGTGGTTTTAACATTACCATGGAAATAAAACCACATGGAAGTAGGAATACTGTGATGATTTTAATAAACTTAAGTGGAGTTGGTAATATCAATAAGAGGTGGGAAAATGACATTTCCAATAATAAACTATAATTTGCCTGGGTTTAGGTAACAATTTGAGATAAATTTTATTATAAACTATTTTAAAGAATTTTGCCTAAAATGATTTTCCGTTTTCTTTCCTCTCATAGTCACGTTCTATATCTAGTTCCCCTGTGATGGTAACTCAGCCTGTTTATCAGCAGTCTGCATATCACTACCAGGTAAACATTAAATTAGTACAGTGAAAATTCTCCTTGATCACTTTAGTCTTTTTTTGGGTATCTCTCACTTTATTCTTTGTCATGCAAATACTGTAGTAATTAAAGAGATAGTTAAGTCTTGATAGCAGTGTTTTTGTGGGGGGGTTTCTGACGGGGTTATAGGAGGAGTAAACAATGTCATACAGGAAGATGGACTATTTGCTTCCTTTTACAAAATATAATTAGGTCAGTTTTGTTTCCCTGACTAACAATCTAAAAAGTCTTTAGAAATAATTCCTAAAGTAAGATCTACAGATATTGGACCACAGACTGAATTTTTAATGTTACTGTTTACATTAATTTCTTGTTACCGTATTTAATACATAGTTGACCCTTAAACACTGAGGAGATTAGGGGCACTGACCCCTACCACACACATGAGTTCTGGGATTGGTTCCAGGATCCACCACCCCACACCCACAGACACCAAAATCCTTGGGTGCTTAAGTCCCTTATATAAAATGGCATAGAACAATGCGTACCGTCTGTCTTTCACATCCTTAGTTGTTTTAATTCTATGCAAAATCTGGGGATGTGAAGAGCCAATTTTATTGAAAAATATTGAGGGCCAACATTTATTGAAAACATCCATGTATAAATGGACACACACATTTCAAACCGTTGTTCAAGGGTCAACTGTAATGTACATTAAAATCACGGTTATATTGTGATTATATTATAGCATCTTTTAGTTAGCCAGCATTTTTTTTTCATTCTTATTGGAGACGGATAAGTGAACTGTAATGCCAGACTATTTTGTTGTTTTGTAGGTAAGGCATAGTTGAACTACAGACATACATGTTTACATATTGTCTGTAGACGCTTTTGTGCTACAGTGGCACAGTTGAGTACTTACAACAGAGATATTATGATCTGCAAAGCTTAAAATATTCATCCTCTGGCCCTTTACAAAGAAAGTTTGCCAGCCTCTGGTCTATACCACTCACAAATAAAACCACATTCTTTCATACTCTGAAATAGTAAAAGAGAATGCATTTGTTTATTTTTTTCTTTTTGAACTTTTAAAACAGACCCACATGAAATGTTAAGGTCATTGGAATTCTTTCTGGTATTAGACTGGCTTTGGGGAGGTCAGTTATTATTATATTACTATGCTAAATATAAAACTAAATGTTTCACTTACTAAAAATAGAACTTAATGATATTTATTTAAAATATATATGTAGCATGACTTTTCCTAAACAGGCTCAGATTTTCAGCAGAGGCCCCAAACACAGAACGTTAAGTACCAGATCATTTAACATGAGAAACCAATTGTGAAACCAGTTTGGGGATCTTTAACTCAATGCCCACCTTGTGCACAGATAAGGGGAGGATGAGATTGATAGGGAAGATTGGTAAGAAGGAAGCTTAACAAGGGAGTTAAGAGTCCTCCTCAACCAAGTGAAGAGGACTTCTGAAAATAACTAAGCTTAATATTCCCTTGAAATTTGTGAGATGGTATCACTTGGACCCGACCTCTCCTAAAAAAAAGTTCAAAGAAAAAGCTCGAGTGGTCTACGGGAGGCAGAGCTAGGAGGGAAGGTCTACAGTGGGAATGTGTTAAACTTCTCACAGCAAGCAAAGGTTATGTTTCCCAAAAGCAAGGTGTGAACCTCACAGAAGAGACTCTTTCCAAAAAAAACTCTAGAGAAATTACCTTAGTAGAGAAATAATCTGTGTAAAGTAAACTTCTAGAATCAAAGGCTAGAGTGGTCTCGCTGGAATCAAAAGTTCTTACTAGAGAGTCGGCATTTGGAATCTACCACACCCAAAAGTGACCTGTCCTCATTTTTCTCCGAGGGCAAGGAAGACTACGCAGCACAATGCTTTTAAAGCGGAGGGTGGGAAAGGAAAGCCCCTTTCTGCTTGCACCCTATTGAGCCAGCTCCTTTGTTATTGATTGATTAACATACAGCTGTAGCTCACTTGACATAGCGGATGTATTCTGGAAATTTTCTAATGCAATTTAATTTTATACTTTAACTCTGGTTTTCTGCTTGCAGGTATAAAATTGAAAGTATGTTGCCTTCATATACTTAGGAAAGATTTTGGTACCAATTTGTAATATATTTTACAATATAAGAAATAATTTTACTTCACATACTTCTTTTGAGTTATATATTCTTCATCAGTCTATCCTTAAAATTCCCATTTTGATAAAAATAGTCCCTTACCCTTTCTTTTTACAAATTCAAGATTGATAGCTTTATCAATTTTTGCTAATCAGATCAGGTAATTCATGGTTTAGTCAGGTTTTATCTCCTTTGTGTTTCTCACTTCATAAGTAGTGATTTTATTTATCTAACAAATCTATATATAAATCATTTTACTTCAGATATTTTTATTAAAATATTTTCTTAAGGCCTTCCTCTCTGAAATCAATAAAAATATATTTTTAAAAAGGATCTTCTTTAAAAATAATATTTTACTCCTTTCTTCAAATATCAACATTCAAAATAAAAATATCATTTGATCCCCCCAAAAATAAATAAAATATTATCTTTTTTTTATTATTCTTTCACCTAACATAATGTTTTCATGATTTGTCCATGTGGTTGCATGTATCAGTATTTCATTCCTTTTTATGGCTGAATAATACTCCATTATATAGATATACTACATTTTGTTTATCCATCAGATGATGGACATTTGGGTTGTTTTTATTTTATTTTTATTTTGGGGCTGTTGTAAATAATGCTGCTATGAACATTTGTGTACAGCTTGTTATGCAGACATGTTTTCATTTCTCTTAGTTCTTACACGTCGGAGTTGAATTACTGAGTTTATATGGTACCTCTGTGTTTAACCTTTTGGTGTCATGCTGTTTACCAAAAAGGCTGTACCATTTTACATTCCTACCAGCAATTGATAAAAGTTATAATGTTTTCACATCCTTGCCAACACATTATTGATTTTAATTTTGATGAAGTTCAGTTTATCTTTTTTCTTGCTTTTGTTGCTTGTGCTTTTGATGTCATAATTTTAAAATTTGCTTGATTCAAAGTCATAAGAGATTTATGACCTTTTTGTAATAGTTTTATAGTTCTAGGTCTTCATCGCTTCTCGGCCTTTTGGCTAAAATCAAGTATAGTTCTAGGTCTTAATTTTGGTCTTGGATCCATTCTGAGTTAATTTTTGTGCGTAGTTTGAGGTATAGGGGTCCAACTCCATTCTTTGCATGTAAATAATCCAGTTTTAACCTTTGTTTATTATCTGTGGGGTCTTTTTTCTTTCATTTTAGACCCCTGCACAGTGTCTACCAAGTCAGTGGCAGTGGAGTGTTCCTCAGGTAAATATTAACTTTTTTCACTGTGCTTTTGTGAATACTGCATGAATATTAAAATCAGGAGAACTTGGTTAGAGACCTTTCTCTTTCACTTATTAACTGTGATACCTTTAGCAGTTTATTTAATCACTATATTTCTCAGCTTCCTCATTTGTGAAATAGAAGTAATGAGACTACTCTCCCTTTGTAAGTTTCCTCATATGATTTTTGTGAAGACCAAATGAGACTATGTAAGTGAGAGCATTTTATAAATGAGTGAGTGTTGCAAAAACATGAAAAAATTACTTCTTTTTATTAGTTTTATTGGAAATTTTAACATTTTTCTAGCCTTCATATTTTGCTTGTTTGACCTGTGCTCTCAAATAGGTATTCTATCTCCCAACTTTGATAACAAATAGTATCCCACCAAAAGATTGTTTCATCTTTTTTGACATTTTTCACCTCCATGCGAGTCACAAAGCTGAGAATAGATATTTATGATAGTTTAAATACCATTGTTTATATTATTACAGCCTTTAGTAGTGATCTTAATAAAATTATCTGAGTTTATAGATGAGGTTCTGAAGCACTAAGAATTTGTAGTCCTTACTAGTGATACAGTTTTTTAATGACATCTATACAACTGGAATTTATAACAACCCCAGAACTCCTAATTTGTTGCTGAGATACTTCTAAGCTATCCCTGAAAAAGAACTTCAGGAAAATATGAAACAAACATTTCTCTCACCTGTTGGGTAAATCATTTGGTTTAAGTGACATAACTAATCATATTTGGAATTATGATTTTGTGTTTCAGTCTCCTGCCTCTTCTGCTCCGTTCCTATACCTACAACCGTCGGAGGTTTTTTATCAACCAGTGGAAATTGCACAAGATGGAGGATGCGTTCCTCCTCCGCTGTCTCTGATGGAAGCTTCCATTCCAGAAGTACGTAATAGTCTCCAAGTAATTTATCTTACATTTATTTCTTTTTCTTTTCTAAAAGTGTTTGTTCAAGACCGTCACTGAAGTTGCATATCTTATCTTTTTCCTTTTTTATATCTAAGAATGCTTCATCTTAGACTTCTTCACTAACTAGTTCAGAATCATTTCTCAAATCAACTGTTCACTTTACTAGGCTCATTCCTGACTCGATCTCCTTTAAAGAGTAAGATACCAAATACCACTTCTGATTTGTCTATCAATCTATATACAGTAGGGCCTTGACTTATGAGTTTAATTCGTTCCATGACGGAGCTCGTAACTCAAATTACTCGTATGTCAAATCATAAAGTGAACGAGTGAGACATGTGATGCTGGGCTGATGTTGTGGCATTCACTGTGACATTCGCTGTACCAACTAGCGGTGGGGTATCTGAAGCTGGCTCGTAACCCGAATTTTAGCTTGCAACTCCAAGCAAAAAATCGGCCGAGAGACGGCTCGTATCTCGAAAAACTCGTTAGTCGGGACACTCGTAAGTCAAGGCCCCCCACTGTAGTTGCTAACATTCTGTCAATTAAAAGCACATAAAAATTAAGCCAAGAAAAAATTTTTAAAAATTCTTCCTTTAAAAAACGTAAGTCAAATTTATTTTATAACTATAGATGGTGACTAGCATGTCTTTAAATTATATTCCTGAACCATTACTAATAACCTTACCAGATATTTTCCAGGAACTGCACATGCATGTTTGAAATCGGTGTTGTGAAAGATTAGGAAATTAGCACCCACCTCCCAGTTTAAATGTTTTGTACTATTTTTATATTGCTAACACTTATAACATTATAATTTTGTTCTTGAACAAAAAAGTCCACAGTTGAATCTAAATGATTACTAAAAAAAATACCTTTACCGGGATTTCTTCATTCATCGTCTCTTCCTCCATTTATCACTTGGTTGATTACATCTACAAGTATCTTTGTTAAAGAAGGCACATGGATGCTATGTTCTTTGAGTTCTTACATTCTTGTTCAACATGTTTTTGTCTGTAAAGTTGGAAAGAAAATAAGACTAGCTATCAACGAACTGCTGAGCCCTGGCTGGTTGCTCAGTGGCTAGAGCCTCGGTTTACAGACTGAAGGGTCCCTGGTTCGATTCCCGTCAATGGCACATACCTCCATTGCAGACTTGATCCCTGGCCCTGGTCAGGGCACATGCGGGAGGCAACCAATACTCAAATGTGTCTCTCTCATATCGATGTTTCTCTCTATCTCTCCCCCTCCTTTTCACTCTCTAAAAATCAATGGAAAAATGTCTTCGGATGAGGATTAACAAAAACAAAATAACTGCTTGATACTTGTGTAGTTTACACAAAGGCTGATGGAACAAAGTACCACAGAATGGGTGACTTAAACAATAGAATACAAATTATGTATATGTTAGATCACTTTTTAAAAAATATATATTTTATTGATTTTTCACAGAGAGGAAGAAAGAGGGATAGAAAGTTAGAAACATCGATGAGAGAGAAACATCGATCAGCTGCCTCTTGCACACCTCCTACTGGGGATGTGCCCGCAACCAAGGTACATGCCCTTGGCCGGAATCGAACCTGGGACCCCTCAGTCCGCAGGCCAATGCTCCATCCACTGAGCCAAACTGGTCAGGGCGATAGATCACTTTTTGTCTTTCATATCTATTATCTCTCAGGTAATTATTTTATCATGGTACTTGTTTTATACTTTTTCAAGGTAACTATGACTATATTTCTCATTATGTTTATTCTATTTTTATTATGACTAATCAGGCTCTCATCTATTTTATGTATTTTATTTTATTTTGTTAGTCCTCACCAGAGGATATTTTTCCCATTGATTTTTAGAAAGAGCAGAATGGAGGGAGGGAGAGGGGAAGAGAAAGAGAGAGAAACATCAAGACACATTGATTGATTTCCTCCCACATGCGTCCCAACCATGTGGTGACTCAAACCTGCAACCCAGCTACTTGCCCTTGACTGGGAATCAAACCTGCGACCCTTCGTTGCACAGACCAACTTTCTCCAGCAGTTCTCAACCTGTGGGTTGCGAACAATGAAAATACATCCTGCATATCAGATTTTACATTACGATTCATAACAGTAGCAAAATTACAGTTATGAAGTATCAACGAAAATAATTTTATGGTTGGGGCTCACCACAACATGAGGAACTGTATTAAAGGGTCGTGGCATTAGGAAGGTTGAGAACCACTGCACCATTGAGCAAACCAGCCAGGGCATCATCTCATCTCTCTTATTTTTAATCTTTTTTTATCTCAATCTCTGCCACTTTGGTTACATCATTGTCTATAAATTTATTTTGGTTTAAAATCTCTCTTTTGAGCTCCTTTTTAGAGATCATGTTATTATAATTTCTTTAAGATTCAAAAAAATTATGTTTATCTGAACTTTTTCAGTTTTTCTAGGGTACTTTCTCACCCTTTTCTTCAACTTTTGTCTTTCCTTAATGTAGTTGAAGAGGCAGTATGCATGCTTAAGTTGCTTGCTTTTCCTTTTCACCTTTATGCTAATTTTTACATGAGACCAGCTACTTGTCAAAATAGAGGGTGGGAAGATCAGACTGTTGTCTGAAGCTGCTTTGCACGGTGTTGTAAGTCTCCTGGTTGTGATGCTCTTCCCTCGGTTTTTAGCATTCTGGGAATCATTTTCTGTATTGGGTTGTAGTAATTGCTACTTCCCTTTCTACCTTCAACCTGTTTCACCTCCAGCAGTGTTCCTCAACTATAAGACAAGGCAGTAGATAAAAATATGGAAACATGATTTCTCCTTCAATTCCATATCCCCTGCTATTAAATAATATGAAATTGGATCTCTGAAAATATTCCCTTCTGCTGCATTGACCTGACATACCCCTACACTTAAGACTTTTTCAATAGGTCTTTTAGAACATTGATTTTTAAGCAGACCTTTATTTTTCCTGAAATCTGAGGAGGCTTCATAGTCCTCACTTATATGGGTCCAAATTGCATAGCATATGTCAGATGTTCTAAATTGTTCGTGGTTTGGGGATAATGGGTATTTCCTTGTTTAATTGATGATGGCATTTTTTTTTAATCTATCTTTGGTTCTTTTTGTTTTTTTCTGGTTTTCAAGGGGAGGGAGAAGTAAGGTAAGAATTCTTTAACACTAGATTTGTAGCCACAATCTACTTTTGGTATTAAACCAGTGGACTCTAATAAGATTTTTCTGGAGCTACTACTTATATTAGCTTATAATTGGTTCTATTTCTATGATATTTTCATAAAAATGTTATATGCATGCTTTTATTTTAATGTTTCTGGTAGAAGGTGTAGGCAAAGATATGTAAATTAATAAAGTAGGTTGCTAAGTAGAAAACACTTTAGATGGAGCCATTAAGCTTTCTATCAACAGTATATTGCTACTAGGAGCCCTACAAATACCTCAGATTTTATATGTTGTCCCCAAAAAAGTATGAATACATTTTATTTTCAAAATTGAGCTATCAGCTATTAAAGTGTCTATACATTTTGGGGTGACACCCTATATTATAAACCTAACTTCTCTCCAACCCCCTTACACACAATTACATAAGCATCAAACTTGCTTTTCTTGTATTCCATATCTCAATAAATGGTTCCACCATCTGTTGGACAGGCCAAAAATCTGCTTTTATATGATCTTTTCCCTCCCTTTTGTTCTAATGTCTCTCTTTCGGCTCTTTTTTAGTGTATATTCTTTCCTCCAGCCATACCAGACAGTCTACGCAGGTCTTCCAAAGGAGATGTGTTCTTGGTTGCCTCGACGTTTTTGTGCATACTAGTCCCATCTTCTTTTCCTAATTCTTCAAATTCAGGCTTCAGCTCCACTAGAAAACTTGACTGGCTACCTCTCCAACTTTCTTAAGCTAAATCAAGTAGTTCTTACCTTTCCTCCCATGCATCCTTATACATGTCTTATAGGTCTTATGGTAATTTTGACTACTTGTCTGTCCGAGATCAGTCTATAAGTTAAAGATGGGAGATGTGTTTCTCCATTGTGTAGCAAAATGCCTAGTACATTGTAGTGCTGAATAACTATTTTTAAATAATGAAAGGCAATACATTTCTTTTTTTGTAATAGCCCTATTCTGATCATGGAGTTCAAGGAACATATCACCAGGTTTATGCTTCAAGTGCCATTGCTATGCCTGCACCTGTGATGCAGCCTGAACCAATTAAAGTAAGAAGTTTGTTTTGACTATTTTTTCCTGTTTTCTTTTTCTTGATCATATTTCAAGTTTTCCAACTTTCTCTTCTGAAAGGAACAACTTTGGAGAATTATATCACATTTGTGATCAGAAATACAGAATTAGTGAATTCTTTCATGTGAAGGAAATAGAACCCCAAATTAACTGTAATTTCTATTAGTTTTGATAAGTAATAAACCACACATGGTTAAAAACGCTTTATTTACTATGGCAAAATATATATAACTTAACATTTTCTATTTTTAAGTGGAAAACTAAGTAGTAACCACCACAGTTATCTGTTTACAAACTTATTAATAATCCCAAATGGAAACTCTGTACACATTAAGCGATAATTTCTCATCCATACTCCCAGCCCCCCGTAACCTCTAACTACTTTCTGTTTTTATGAATTTGCCTAGATATTTCATATGCTCAGATTTTTATTATCTATGTTAATGGAAAGTAAAATGTATGGCAAAAGATCCAAAATGGCGGCGGAGTATGTTATACTCACCTTCTTCCAGGACCAAACTGGAATTACAACTAAAATATAGAACAGGCAACCTGAATAACCAATTGAAGATAAGCTGAACAGAAGTCTTATAACCAAGGATTTACAGGAGAAGCCACATAGAGACTGGTAGGAAGGGCAGAGACATGAAAAGGGCTGATTCTGCTCCCATGGGCAGCAACTGAGGTTTCAACTGCTCAGCTGCAAAGGTTACCCCTAAGAAGAGTGGGTCTCAACCCCAAGCTGGGCTCCCCACCCCAGAACACCAGATCCAGGAAGAAGCACCCACAACACATCTGGCTGAGAAAATCACTGGGGATTCTGTCTGCCAGGGAGAGACAGGAGTCCACTAGAGACACAGTGCCCTCAAAAGGACCAATGCACAAAATCTCATTTACAGCCACTTACCCAGGGTTTTGGCAGAGGGAGGGCGGAGCAGACTAGAGTCATGTGAGGAGAGACTGGAGTTTGTGGCTCTGGGAAGACAGCTGAAGGGACAGCCGCCAGCACCCCTCTTCCCACACTACAGATGCCATCTTTCTTGGGTGGAGCACTCCCTTCCTTATGGCATCACCCTGAGGGAATACAATAGCCTTACCCTCTGGATTCCCTGTAGCCCCACTTTGTGGAGCTCATCTACTACTGAGGAGTCAGCTGCCTGGGCTGGGGTACAGAGGTCTGGACAGACTCGGGGGTATCAGTGACTGGTGTGGCTTTGTAGTGAGGGCCATTGCCCCTTCTTTCCCATGAACCTAACTGGCGCCACCCCCTAACAGGAGATATGCTAGCCTCTCCCTCCAAACTCCTGGTGGACCAACACTGCCAATGTCTGGGCAGAATCCAGGACAGACTGAGTTATGTGGCTCTGTGAAAGGGGCCACTCCTTCTCTGAAGCTGACTGGAACCTCCCCCTCACAGAAAATCTACTAGCCCTAATCTCCCAGCTCCCGGAGCCCCTCCCTGCGGAGCTTCAGCTCCTGGCAGAATCTTGAACAGACTTAGTTTTGTGGGTTGTGCACCGGGACTGTTTTTCCTTTGTACACCCAACCAATGCAGAGCCTTCCCTCATGCAGCCAAATCGTGATTGGCTTGGGCCTTATAAACTCTACTGGCCTCACCCTGATTACTCTGTAAGATCCCAACTTACCACAAAGGTCTGTGGGCCCCTGCATGGACATTTGCTGAGTGGCCTCAGGCCCAGCACTGGCACTCAGTTTGAACCTGTGTCAATCTGGTGAGAACCACTCACCTCTACCTGATGACTCACTGAGAACCTTGCTCATGCAACTCAAGTACCACCAGAGGCTCTTTCAGTGACTGAGTCTAACAGGCAGCCAGCAGATGGAGACAAATCTTGGGTGCCTTGAGACTTTTGCTAGCCTGCCCCCGGGCCTGGTGCTAATAAAAGCCGGCCTTGGTGCATAGTTTGGTCCTTCCTGTTCGCACCTAGGCCCCGCAGAGGTAGCTATAAACTGTGTATAGTTTTCTAGCTCCAAGCAGGTTACCTTCCCTGGGCCAGTCACAGGGCAGCATCTAACATAGGCCTGCACCAGAGTTCCTCCCAAGAGGCCCCAAAACGAGCACAACCAGTGGCCAGCTTCAGAAAACAACAGAACAGGATCCAGTAAACTCCACAAGCAGAGCATACACAGGAAGAAACCCATGCCATTACAGTCAATACCTGCCAGGCAAGAAAATACATAGGATGGAATAAAGGTAGCCCATCTGATAAATGGTGTTAGAGACTTGGACAGATACATGTAAAGCAATGAAATTAGACCACCTTCTCACACCATACACAAGAATAAACTCAAAATGGATTAAAGGCTTAAATGTAGGACTTGAAACCATAAAAATCCTAGAAGAAAACACAGGCAATAAAATCAATATTTCTTATAGTAATATTTTTTATATATCTCTTTGAGCAAGGGAAAAGAAAAGCAAATGGGACTACATCAAACTGAAATGTTTTTGCAAAGGAAATCTAAAATGAACAAAGTGGAAAGACAACCCAATGAATGGGAGAACATACAATAAGGGGTTAATATCCAAAATTTATAAAGAACTTCTATAACTCAACAGCTCAAAAAAAAAAAAAAACAAGCAATTCCATGAAAAAATGGGCAAAGGATCTGAATAGTTACTTCTCCAAAGATGACATACAGATGGCTCAGTGTCACTAATAATCATCAGAGAAATGCAAATTAAAACCACAATGCGCTACCATCTCACATCTGTCAATATGGCTATCAATAAATCAACAAAAAAGTGTTGGTGAACATGTGGGAACCCTTGTGCACTGTTGGTAGGAATGCAGATTTGGCGCAGCCACTGGAAAACAGCATGGAGCTTCCTTAAAAATTAAAAATGAAACTGCCTTAAGACCCAGCGATTCCACTTCTGGGAATATAGCCCAAGAAACCTGAAACACTGATTTGAAAGAATATATGCACCCATATGTTCATTACAGCATTATTTACAATCACCAAGATTTGAAAACATCCCAACTGTCCCATCAGTAGATGAGTGGATAAAAAGCTGTGGTACAGTTACACAATGGAATACTACTCAGCTGTAAAAAAGAAGGAAATCTTACTTTTTGTGACAGCATAGATGAACCTGGAGAGTATTCTGCTAAGTGAAATAAACCTGACAGAGAAAGACAAATACCATATAATTTTGCTCATATGTGGAATCTAATGAGCAAAATAAACTAACAAGCAAAACAGAAACAGACTCAGATAATAGACTGACAGCTATTAGAGGAGGAGGGGACTGGGTGAATAAGGTGAAGGAATTTTTAAAAAAGCTTATTGACACAGACAACAGTATGGTGATTACCAGAGGGAAAGGTAAAAGAGGGTAAAGGAGAGATAAATGGTGACAGGAGACTTGACTTTGGGTGGTAAACACACAATATAATATACAGATGATGTATTAAAGAATTGTGCACATGAAACCTGTATAATGTTATTAGTGTCACCCCAATAAATTCAATAAAAATTGAAAATAAAAAATAAGTCCTGGCCAGGTGGCTCAGTTGGTTGGAGCATCCTGTACAACAAAAAGGTTGCAGGTTTGATTCCCGATCAAGGCACATACCTAGGTTTTGGATTCCATCCCTGATTGGGCACATGTGGGAGGCAACTGATTGATGTCTCTCACATTGATGTCCTCTCTTCCTTCCCACCTCCCTCTCTCAAAAAAAATAAAACATCCTTGGGGGAGATTTTAAAATAAATAAATAATAAAATTTAGGGGAGATGAAAATATTTAATCTCTTCCAGTTTGGGAATTGTGCTCATGTATTCTAAGTCAGATCTGGGGCAAAGAGTGACCATCTAGTTAGATGTGTGTATATATTCAATAGATTCCAACTCTACTATATAGCAGGGAATTCTGTTTATTCCCAAATGACCTAGCTTCTTGGTAAAACTCTTGCATCATTACTGATTAACAGTTAGTATGGTCATTTGAATCCTGTTTGCAGGGTCTTTGGTAAGGAAAGTGGGCACATTCTTTATAGTAAAATGAAAGAGATTAGCTATTTCACATTCATATTTATGCTTCTGACCCATCCCAGGTATTGGAGCTCCATACTAAAACAGTCAACTTTAAGGAGACGCCTCACCCTCTGTTATCCCCTCACCGTCGTCACTCACTGCATTCCTTCACTGCTGTTATCACTACTGCAAACATGAAATAAAACCCTAATTTTGATGTAGTCTTAAAGTCTACAGTGTTACTGAAGTTGCATCAAAATGTTAAACAGACTTTCTTTGATGTTAATATTTTCTATAAATATACTTCTCTTGAATTAGCCATTTCATATTAGATACATGTTATTTATTTTCAGTTACATATTTTAAATATACGTACATATAAATGATTGAAGTTTTACTGCTTGACAAGAGAGGATGAACTGGTAACCTATAGGATAAGAGCAACTTCCAAAGAATGTTAAGCATGTTTTTAAAGTGACACTCTTTTTGCTTTAATATTTTTTGTCTTTTTCTGCTTTTGAAATGAGCTCTCAATTACAAAATATCAAACTGCACTTAAAAACTCCAGCATTGGCACAATGGGAGAAGCCCACAAGGAAGCAGCAGCAGGGGCAAGAGGTGGGAAATGACTGAAGCAGTGGTTACAAATAGCTGCAGGAAGCTAAAACTATCCAGCAGGATGTGCCCTAAAGTTAGCACAGGTTAGACTAGTTACTACCTTGGTCAGTGGCCCCAGTGTAGTTGGGTTCAGATTCTACATGGCAATACAATTTCTTCCAGTTAAGAGTTCTTGGCCTGCACCAATCTTGGTGACCAGTCTATTAGTTTTTCAAAATGCTGTCATAGACCTGATAGAGGTACTGAGAGGCGTCTGGAGACCTACACTTCAGCAAGTGTACAATTGCGGTTTCCTGGCTGGATATGTAGCTCAGCCAAGATCCACATGCCATTGATGAGCTTCAGAGATTGGTACATC